AGAACAAACTTTGCACACTTACGGGGGAATTCCAAATACACCCAAAAAGGGAGAAATCTCACTCCCATATAGTTTTAGCAACTGGACAAATAACCATAAGGTGGTAACCAGTTTCCTCATCAACTTTGCAGAGAGTACATTTATTGAAAAGTAAACAAGAATTGGGTCTCTTTTTCTGAAGCAAGTCATTTGTATTAATTGTTTCCAGGAAAGTTATCGATAAAAAAAAATTCTTTCCAGGAAAGTTTTCTAACAACTTTCAACTCGAGGAGGAATGAGCTTGCTCCAAATCTCTTTAACAAGGAAGGACAACCCAATAGGAACAGGAGGTTGAATTAAGGTCTCAAAAAATGAAGCACAAGTGAAAGTACTCGAGGAGGAAGGGGTCCAAAATCTGGTGTCTTCCTTATTAGGGTCCAAGAAAACATTTTCAAGGATGGCTAACAAAGACAAAATACAGTCTAAGTCTGTATCCCTAATTGCCCTTCTCAGGCCTAGGTTCCACCCAAAACCTGAAGTAGATTCTAAAGGAACCAAGAAAGAGGAGATAGGTTCATTTTTCAAATCTGATAGAGCATACAAAGAGGGAAATTGGTCCATCAGAGGTGAGTTTCCAACCCAAGGTTGCTCCCAAAACCTTATTCAATTACTTGAGTTCAAACCATACCTGATCCAAAGGGAGAAAACTAGAAACAAATCATGAATGGCTTTCCAAGGAGAAGCAGCTGCAGCCCTTGCCATAATTCTAGGATCCCAACCGTTGTCTTCCAGCCCATATATGCTAGCCACTACCATTGTCCACAATTTGTCCCTTTCCAAAGGAAACCTCCACAACCATTTCCCCAGCAATGCCATGTTTCTTTTGCTGATATTCCCAATCCCGAGACCTCCTAGATTCTTGCATCTAGTTACCACCTCCCAACTCACCTTGTGGTCCCTCTTCTCCTCTCTTGTCTCTCACAAAAAATCCCTCATTAACTTTTCCAAAATGTTAGAGACCTTTGTGGGAATCTTAAACATTAACAAGAAGTAAACAATAGGTTAGCTAAGGTAGACCTAATCAAAGTGACTCTCCCCCTTAAGGAGAGATAATTTTTCCTCCAAGAAGCAAGCCTTTTCTCACATCTCTCCATTACTAGGTTCCAAAAGCTTTCATTCTTGGGATTATCTCCTAAGGGGTGGCCTAAGTAAATCAAAGGCCAACTGAGATTGCACAGCCTAACACACCTGCATATTCACTTAATTCCCTCTCCTCCAAATTCACTCCCATCATACAACTCTTATCAAAGGTCACCTTGAGATTAGACATTTGCTCAAAGAGTTGTATTGCCAATTTTAAATTCCTGATCCAATTTATGTCTCCACCTTCACAAAACAGGATTGTGTCTTCTGCAAACTACATGTGTGTAAGTGGTACTTCCTTCCTTCTTACTCTCCAAACTTTTATTAAATTCCTCAAGTCAGCTCTATGGATCAATCTCCCAAGGACATCTACAATCAAAGTAAATAAAAAGGGGGAAAGTGGGTCTCCTTGTCTTATTCCTCTCAAGGCAAGAAAGAAGTCCACCATATTTCCATTCACCAAGATAGACCAGTGGCAACTCCTAACACAACCCCAAATCCATTTACACCAGTTGTCTCCAAAGCCAAAACTTCTCAACACCTCCAACAAGAAGGACTAATCAACTAGGTTGTAAGCCTTCTCTAAGTCTAGTTTGCAGACCACTCCCTTCTTCTTGGATTTCCTAAAGTTCTCCAGACTTTCATTTGCAATCAAGATTTGATCAGTGATCTGTCTTCCCTTCGCAAAAGCTCCTTGGTTGGGTGCAATAATGGTAGGAAGAACTTTCTTTATCCTTAGAGACAACACTTTTGCAATTATTTTGTACAGACTATATAATGAAGAACGCTAGCTTATTTGAGGAAGGAATCGGTTACAACTTGGGAAATGGGGAAAGAATCAAATTTTGGAAAGACTCGTGTTCTGAAGTGTGTCTGAAAGATGCCTTTCCTCTCTTGTATCAAATTTTTGTAAATCAGGACTCCTCGGTGGCTGAGAATTTCAATGTGGATGGTAACTCTTTCAGTTGGAACCTAACTTGTAGGAGGCGCCTCTTTGACTGGGAAATTGAGGAGTATGTAATTTTTTTGGGCCTGCTCCAGAACTAGAGGATTGACCCAAACATGGAGGATGCTTGGAGATGTAAATGGGAAGCTAATGGCATGTTTTCTGTTAAGTCTATGTTTAGTAAGTTGATAAGTTCAGGTCAGGAAAACTTTCTGGCAAGGCAGATTTGGAGCTCATTCAGTCCTTCTAAAGAAGTTTTTGCTTTGGACAATGGCTTTAAATAAATGTCTATCCAAAGTTAATCTAGTGAAACGTGCCATTCAAATTTTGGATATGTCATGTGGCTTATGTGGTGGGGTAGTAGAAACTAYTRARCATCTGGCCTTACATTGCCCAGTCTCGAATTATATTTGGAGGCATTTTCTCCAAGCTTTGGAAATCAGMTGGGTAATGCCAATTTCTGTGAAGGATCTGCTATTGTGTTGGCAGATTGAGGGTCTCAGCAAGAAAGGTATCTTGGTTTGGAAGACTATCCCGGCTGTTGTGCTTTGGACTATCTGGATTGAAAGAAATAATAGAATTTCTATTGGGTGGGATTTGACTGATCCTTCTACTTCTAATTTTTGAGGTGAAATTCTTTCTTCTCCTACCATTTACCACAAAATGGAAAAACATAGTGTTTCTATTTCCCTCCTTTAACCATTTACACTTGGATTTCTGTCTCTAGCCTATTTCCTCCTTAAGCAAGAGGTCCTCTATATGCCTCATCAACCTCCATCTTATCTCCCTATCTTACTCTTCAAAAGATCCCCTTTCTTCCTTCAGATCCAATTCCTCTATCTTCTTCAACAAGATTTGCTTTTTTTCCTCCAATCTTCCAAACTCCAAATGGTTCCACTTTTTTATCTAGGATTTTAGGAATTGAAGCTTCTTGTGGAATCTCATTCCCTCCCACTCTATTGACGGATTAAATTGCTCCTACCACTCTCTGATTTTCTCAATAAAGCCCGGATGGATCAAACACTTGTTCTCAAACCTGAAGGGGGCAGGTCCATCACCTCTCATTTCCTCCTTACACATCACTATAGGCCAGTGGTCTGAAGTGAGTCTAGGAAGTGCCCTAGATGTTAGATTATCCCACAAAAACCTGTCCAGCTTAGAGCATATTGGACTTGATTTAGGAGTGGAAATTCTTTAAGCTCAAAAGTATCCACAAACTGGTTGAATTTTCTCATATTGGTTGTCACTCTTTGTCTAGGCTTGTTGGTTCTTCTATGAATCTCACTACATTAAAATCTCCTCCCACACACCATGGTCCTTCCCAAAGGCCCCTAATATCACTCAATTCTTCCCACAATTTCTTCCTCTACCTATAGTCATTACATTTGTTAGAACCCATTCAAAACTATCTTCCACCTACCTGAACTTCAGAGAAACTGAATGATCACCTATTAATTCCTCTAATCCTATCAGCACATCTTCTTTCCAAAAGGTTACAATCCCACTCGAGGACCCCCATGAAGGAGCAGCACCCATTTTATCCCCCTAGATCTCCAAACATTCTTTTGGACTCCTGAATTAAGACCACATCCAGGTTAAACTTCTTAATCACCTCTTTAACTGTTGCTCTCTTCCTAGCATGCCCAACCCCCTCACATTTCAGCTTAGGATTCTCATTTTAACTTTGATACTCAGCCCTAGCACCACCAACAATCTATTTAATCCCTTATATATGTATTTCATGGTTGTTCTCACAGGTCATTGTGATAAGTTGCCAGTGTATGTAAGAGGCTATTACCCAATGTTGGTCCCAACTATCCAATGTCTTGGGAGGGTGGACTGAATACAGACCTAATCTTATGCATTTTTTTTACACAGTATATAGAGGTGATGAATATATTTGCTCCCTTCCAAAATTAAAATGGAAGGGAACTAGAAAAATAAAGAAGAGAAGGCATTATAGGTTATGGAATTCTTGGGAATTTTTCGATTCTAATATTTATGGCAAACCAATTGTTATGACTCTCAAATGTTAGATATAGTATAAGTGTTAATAAAGCATTAATTTAGGAGATATACTTTATTCTGAAGCTAATATATAGGTAGATACATCCTCCATGGTTTTTTGGTTCTAACATGCAAGAAAAAAGCTTCACTCTAAAAGCCAAGGGGGCATTGCTTGGTGCATAACATTGGTAAAGCCTTGTGCTGAAAAGCTTGAGTACACGGGTTCCATTCTGAGAGTGATCACTTCTTTTGCCAAAAAAAAAGCCAAAGGTTAAGGCCATATCCAGTCCACCCCTTCCAAGTCCCTAGATAGTTGGGACCAATATTTGGGTAATGACCTTAATATTTTCTTGGTTTATTGATTTCTTTCTTACAAAGAGAGTTTGAGGACTGAATTTCATGATAAGGGGGTGTGTCCACTTGATCCAATTTTGGTAGTGCAGTTCCCAATGAACTGGGCCCTACAGTAAATTTGACTTCAATGCTTTTCAGGAAAGGATGCATTACATCAACAAAAGGTCAGCCAATGAGATTGTTGTGGAACATACAGAGTGAAATCAGTTGCCTGATTTCAAAAAGATGAAAAAAATTGATTTAGAAATCATAGGGATATTCTATTTTTGAACAAATCCAGAAATAACATGTTAGAGGATGGTTTTTAATGACTCTGAACAATTCTGATCTCAAGAACAACTGAAATCAGAATTGTTCATGTTGGAGAATTCTACCTAGAGATTGTATTTCATTATTTAATTCATGTTGGAGAATACATTTCTCAATGATTCTATATTTCATTATGACAAGTTTTTCATATCATATTGCTATCTTTCTGTATTCTTTTCAAAACACAAGTGTTATGTTGTCTGCACTATGTTGTGCAACTATGCTCATGTAGAATGTTTTACTTGCCACTTTTTGACTACAGGGAGTACAGCCTCTGCTGGATGGTGTATTAAGTTATTTGCCTTGTCCTGCTGAAGTTAGTAACTATGCTCTTGACCAAACAAAGAATGAAGAAAAGGTGACTGGAATTGTTTTCCATTTCAGACAGTGTTCTATCTTAACTTATTAAGGTTTTCTTGTGTTTTGGAATCTAAATTCAATGATTATTTCTTTATGGTAAATAATGATAGGTTTCATCTTGTTAGGTTACACTCTCAGGAACTCCAGCTGGGCCTCTTGTTGCATTGGCTTTCAAACTGGAAGAAGGGCGATTTGGTCAATTGACTTATTTAAGGTACACCTAATTGACTCATCCTTTTTAGGTTTGCCTTCATAGTGCATTTCTGTGGTGCAATGGGTTCTGTCAAATATAAATATCGGTCAACAGGGATGTTAGTGCAATGTCTAGGTGGCTATCTTAATCTAACAAATGGAATCAATTTGTTGTGGCAGAATCTATGAAGGTATTATTCACAAGGGTGATTTTATAATCAACATAAACACAGGAAAGAAGATCAAGGTAAGCACTGATTTAAGAAAAATAATGTTACTATTGGTGGTTTTACAAGTATGAGCTAATGAGATTGGGTAACATGGTATACATGTATTTTAAACGAGTTTAACTTTATAGTTAAGACAACTTTAAAAATAAGGCAAATGAAGAATCTGGTGCCACAAACAAGTTCCATTCATCATATAATGGGAAAATAGCTAAAAGCCTAATGAGGGGTCACATATGTCTTGAAACAATGCTCCTATGGGCATTGCTTTTTCTATTTATTTAAAGACAAGTTCTGGTTGAAACCTGAATATGGAGTATCTGGTATTGTTATGGTTGAGACTGCTGTTGGATTATCAAACTATTTGCTGATACAGTCCTCTTTATTTGACATACCTTTGAAAATTCAAAACTAGCAATGCCAATACATTGGTTAAAGACTCTGGAATTGTTTAACCATTTTTCCTTTGCTGATTGTTGGAGGGATTGGTTATCAGTAGCAAGTTGTTCCTCCTCCAAGGTAAGGGTATTGACTAGCTTGGTCCCCCCTCTCGGTTAATTGAAGCTGAATTTTGATGGGAGCAGCCAGGGTAACCCTGGTCCCTCTGGGTTGGGAGGTGTACTGAGGAATGAGGCTAGAGAGGTTGTCTTACTCTACTATGGCCCATTAGGTGTTGGGAACTCTATTCGGCCCATTAGCTGCAATACAAGGATTACTTCTTGCAAAAGAAATGGGTGTGGAGCAGCTTCTGATTGAAGGGGATTCTAAGACAGTAGTGGACTGGTTCAATGATATGGAGGGTGTCACTTGGGGCTACAAAAATGAGTTAAAGAAATTCAAATGGCTGGCAAGGAATATGTCTGTAACAGTACAATGGGTTGGGAGATCAGCTAATGCATTTGCTGATATCTTGGCAAAACAAGGGACAAATAGGGAAACATTGTTCTGGGCGCAACTGTAACTTTTGTTTTAACATTCATGTACTCTTTGATGTAGTTTATGTGCTTTCTGTTTGGAGAGGCGGCACCTCGTGCCTCTATATGGGGATTTTTATGTAACCAATCTTTGAATTAATGGAATATGATTTTTTATTTATAAAAAATCAAAACTAACAATTATATCATGATTTATTTTTGCTTGGATTATATCCTTATATTTTTTTATTGATAAGGTCAAAACTGCATTCATAATCATAAAGACATTCAACCCCTATCAGGCAGATACAGCCACAGCTGACACAATAAGACCACTGTACAAATAGGGAGAGAACAAGCTAGCTTGATAAGGATGTGCCACAGAAGAAGAGTCTCTCCCACTGTTGTCCTTGAAAGAGTATCTGCGAGAGAGCTTGCCAGTCTATAGAACCACTTGAATCTGCCATTCATCCTAGAGGCAATTAGGCTAACAAGGCTAACAATTTTGCCTACATTATTGTCCTAGGCTCCAAGGACCCTCCAAGGAGGAACATTTCCATTCTATCATTGCCTGTGGGTTAACTATTAGAAGCCTTTCTAAACCCAGTGAATGTTCATTCTAAGATCATGGAGGAGAGCCAAAATTTTTGTTATTTGGAGTTTCTCTCTCTACAATGGGACTATAGTAAAGCACCTTCATTTGACAAACATTTTTTTCCTGGCTCCAACCCTGTTTGGTACACATACTCCTGAATGATGCAACTTATTACACACTTAAGTTTGCTATCTTCTGCATGCAGGTTCCTCGCTTGGTTCGGATGCATTCTGATGAGATGGAGGTTAGTTTTTTATTCATTTTTTTCCTTTTCTTCTCAGAAGATATTTAGGGCCTGTTCGTTTGCTCTAAAGTTTGACATCTGAAAGTGTAATAATTACATTAAGAGGTATATTGGTATTGGTGAACTTTTCTTTCCTCTGAACTTTGAATGCAGAGAATGTTGCTCTGAATTCTGAATTCTGAATTCTGAAAATTATCAAATATCCATTTTGACCCCATATATGAGAGTTTTTGTTTGCCTTTTTGGGGACATCATTGGAAAATAAAAAGTTGTATGATTGCACTTAAGAGATAAGAGGAAACGAACAACCATTTTTCTCTTAAAGTTAAAAGATTCCTCTTAAGAGATACGAGTTAAGAGGAAACGAACAGGCCCTTACTTTCTCTCAGTATGACAATCAGTTGGGGAGTTCCTTAGTATATAGCACACCCAAAACATGCCTCAGCATTGGAACCTCCAGAAGTGCCAAATCCAATAAAGTTTAAATGCTGGGGGCCATCGCCAAATGATGGTCCTGATGATGCCCTAGTATTTTCCAAAATGAATCTTGCTCTAACTAAGTTCCACTTTAACTTCGTGTTATTGCCTCCAAGTCTTGCCCTTTCAGTTCCAGTTGATTTACTGCTATCCTTGTATCTGGATTATTATATACATAGGATATTCAAGAGGCTCATGCTGGGCAAATAGTCGCTGTGTTTGGTGTGGATTGTGCATCAGGTAGGCCTTTGACCAAGTTATGGATATGTAAGCTTTCTTCTTGCATTTTTGTTGTTAAATTTTCACCTTGCTCTTGTTACCAGGAGATACTTTTACTGATGGATCAGTTAGATACACAATGACTTCTATGAATGTTCCTGAACCAGTCATGTCATTAGCTGTTTCACCTGTATCCAAGGATTCTGGAGGACAAGTATATAATCTCCAACAAATACACCATGCCCTGTTGTAATGTTGTATTAGTTGATTTTCATTCATATTGTTTTCTTTATGACAGTTTTCAAAAGCTCTGAACCGCTTTCAGAAAGAGGATCCAACTTTCCGTGTTGGTTTGGATGCTGAGAGTGGACAGGTATGATCTATATCTCATGTCCTGCAAAGCTTCTAATATTCCTTGACATGACATTACATACTTCTGATAAACAGACAATAATTTCTGGAATGGGAGAGCTTCATTTGGACATTTATGTTGAGCGAATCCGGAGGGAGTACAAGGTTGACAACTGGACTTCTCCTTGCTAATGCCAATTTGAAAGTGCTAGCTGTTTATATTAATACTTTCATCTTATCTTCTTGCACCTGGTGATATGAAGGTTGATGCAACTGTTGGGAAGCCTCGTGTTAACTTTAGGGAGACAGTTACTCAGCGTGCTGAATTTGATTATTTACACAAGAAACAGACTGGAGGGCAAGGTCAATATGGGAGAGTATGCGGGTAAGTGCCGTGTTTAGAAAACCGGACCAAATTGGCTGGTTGGACCAGTTGAACCATGACCCAGGACCCTGGCCGGTTCAGTCACTCCAATGCGGTTTTTGCTACAAATCCAGTAAAAACCAGCTGACCATCTGGTTAAACCAGTGAATTGGTCCCAGTTTCATGAAACTGCTTGGGTCCTTAAATAATTGAAATTTTAAATGTGTTTAACAAGACTTGAACCCATGACCTCTTATTTTCATATATTGATTAATTACCACTAGTCTACGTCTTTACTTGTATCAATTAATGACTCTTCATTGTACACCATATTTAAGTATATTAAATGTTGTAAAATATATTATATATAGTATTTATATCACATGCAGTATATATATGTATATGCCATGCCATCACGGTTCGGCCTCCGGTTTGACCCTAGTTGAACTTCTGACCTGTGAACCTCTCCTTTCTCTGGTTCTATACCCAGTCTGGTTCTCTGAACATTGGTTAGTGCTGATGATGTACCATTTTTCTCTTTGAAAAGATAAATGGACAGAGGTGCAACTCTAGATGGACACTTTAATTTGTATAAGTAATGTGCTTTATGTTTGTAAATTAGAGCCTTTTATACCCCGTTCTTAAAATTGCTGCATCTTTTTTCCTTTATTGGCAACGAATTATCAAAAAAATTATAAGAAAAATGAAACAATTTATTGGAAATGGAGGTGTGGGTTGATTGTATACCATTAGATCAGGACTTTTGCAGGAGTCTATTGACTTAAGCATCATTGACATTAAGAGGATGGGTTCATCTTCTTCAGTGAGATAGCTTTCTTCTCAGCTAGAGTCCCCCCACCCCTTGAAGGAACAAACAGGTTCAACCTTGATTATAGTTCCACGGGGAATCATGAGGGATCAGAGTTGTCCTTTGGAGTCATAGGGACGACGGTTCTTCAGGCTTATTTAGGACCTGTGGGCTGTGGCTACTGGTAATGTCATATACACAGAATTTTGTCTTTTATAAAGGGGTCTAAGGCTTGATGTATGCCTTAAACTACAGTGGAGTAGATGTAGAGGGTGAGTGGGATGGTTACAAAGTGGTTGGGAGGATCCTAGCTACTATAGTCACTGTGAAAAGTTGGTTATCAGAAGAGCAGCTAATCAACTAGCTTACTAGCTGTTTACTTGACTAGGAGTGGAGTGCAAAGGGTTGGATTGTATTGCAACTTAGAACTGCCTTATAGGGAATGATGCTCTCTGGATAGATGGTGTATAGAGAGGTCGTATAATCTGGCATTTGGATTATTGTGTTTATGTCGTTTTCCTCTTCTTTGTTTACACTCTCTTCTTTCCAAGTAAGAAACTATTTATCTTTTTATTTTGTTACTAATAAAAATATTGAAAACTACTGTTTTATTGCCATTATTTTGATTTTTGAATAACTCTCCTTCAGAGGGTTGCTGATGATTGTTTTTAAGTGTGTAAAATCAAAGCTAATATTTACAAGCTTTAGAACATGGAAGGTTCTTTCAAAGTTTCATGTAATTTATTTGGTTTCTGAATTTTCATTGATAATTAACTGGAGGATTTTTGTAGATGGATAAGAAATATAGAAGAGGGAACCTCAACCACAAGGACTGTACAAAGGACCAAAAATAAAATGAAGATATAACTTTTCAAGCCATGAAATAGCCATTTAACCACTGTGAAAATGTATCAATGATGATATACTTGTAGCGATAGCTCAATTTTTAAGATTTTGGTTTGTTTCTCTTATATCCTTTTTGGGCAGGTATATTGAGCCGCTTCCAATGGAGTCACCAACCAAGTTTGAATTTGAGAACATGATTATAGGGCAAGCAATACCATCAAACTTTATCCCAGCAATTGAGAAGGGCTTTAGAGAAGCATGCAATTCGTGAGTAGTCTGGTTTCTTAAGAAATTGATTTTGGATAATTATATATTTTTTATGTACTTTAAATATATGATGGTGTTGTTGCAAGTAACAAATGTATATGTTGCTGTTACATATATAGGGGTTCATTGATAGGGCATCCAGTTGAAAATGTCCGTGTGGTTTTAACTGATGGTGCATCTCATGCTGTGGATTCCAGTGAGCTTGCTTTTAAGCTAGCTGCCATATATGCATTTAGACAGGTGGCTTTTTGTTCCTTGAATTTATGTCTTGGTTGCAATTCGTTTTTATTTTATTTGGTGCAAAATTTCTTGGACATGGTGCAAACTTTTGGAGGTTGTCAGAACACTGCTCCTTTCCTAATCAAAACTGCATTTTAATCTCTTTTAGTGGATTTTCACTTTTTTTTTGATGAATAACAGATAAATTTTATCAACGCCCAAAATCAACCCTGCCTACAAATCCTAAACTCCACACTGTCTGCAAAGTGGGCAGTAGACAAAAAGAGTACAAAAAACTCCGCAAATTGGAGCACAAAAAACAAATACAAGTACAACCCTGTTACAAAATACAACCCAGCCCTGGACATCTCCACAACAATTGATCTCTCACAACCCTTTCCCTTGCTAGTCATTCAATGAATTTGTGCTTCTGGGAATCCAATTGAAATTGAATGAACCATTGAAGTCTGTTATAGAATTTGTGCCCAACCATCCAGTGAATTCATCCAGCAGGGAATGGTTTTGCATTCTCTCTCCACCTCCACATCTCTCAATACCATCATTTATATGGTTTTAATCCTTGAAAGTCGAACCAAAGCCAACAGCTCTGTCCTTAGAGAGTTGCCATGTCCAATTGGACCAGTGAAGCTAAGCAAAATGCTGCCATCAGAAGCCCATACTATCCCCTCCAACACCTGAAATTCCCAGATTACGAAGGCAGCACCCATCAAATTTAAAATTAAGCCTGCTCATGATGGATTTTTCACATTGTCATTTCATTCACTTCTGCAAAACAGTGCTATGCAGCAGCAAAGCCTGTAATATTAGAACCTGTGATGTTGGTGGAGCTGAAGGCGCCAACAGAATTCCAGGGTACAGTTACTGGTGATATTAATAAGTGAGTGTATTTAATTTCCCATTTACTGGATTATCGGTATGATACTCTGACAAGATTTGTCACAGACTGTCTTCATATTTATCATATGGCAGGAGAAAAGGTGTGATCGTTGGAAATGACCAGGATGGAGACGACTCTGTTATTACTACACATGTGCGTATATATATATATATACATATATATATATATATGTATATATATATTTGTCTGTTATGGTACTTTTACCAACGTTATTTTTCTAGGGAAGTGCTTGATGCCATTGTGGAACAGTCTGATTATCTCTGGTTGATGTGGTTATTCTGATTTTGAATCTCTTGACCTTGAGATATGGAAATCCATGCTGAGGTTAACTTCATGTTGTGAATGAGCTATGCAAATAATCTAAAAGTCAGTTTAACCTGTAATCTGGAGCTACTTACTATTTGTGGGAAGTAGTTCAAGGTTTGCATTAAAGAATGACAGCCATACAGAAATACAAGTAGCCTCTGTTAGAATTCTAGCAGGTCGTAAGGAAGTCCATCTGACATTGGTAACATTTACGAAATTAGTAAGGTTATAGAAAAGCTAAACCTAATTCAGGTTTTTTGGCCTGGAAGATTTCAGTTGAATCGGGGCCAGGGCATGATGCATGACACTTCTGTCTAATGGAATTCTATAGTGTGGTAACCCCTTCTCCAAGGGAATTCTTCGGTAATCTGCTAGATGCTAATCTTTATTGTGACATGGAGCTTGCCAATCCATGTTTTGTGTTTTATTCATTGTTTATCATTCTAGATTAAGGTACTGACAAAAAATGATACTAGATTAGGGTTTGAACTTAAAAACAAGCATTGCTCTTATGTTACTTGATTGCTTAATGCAATGGCTGCTGGAATGTATTTTCAGTTGGAACTGTTTTAAAGAAAATGGAATCTTCATCACATTCTTGGGGAAGATTGTATGGCTATTGGCATTAATAGCATAGCACCTGAAGAATAAAAGTCTGATGAATGAAATGTTTTCTGAGGAACCGTTTTTTTTTTGCCTTTCAGGTCCCTCTGAACAATATGTTTGGATACTCTACAGCACTCCGGTCCATGACACAGGTGAAGCAATTGTCATTTATAAAATTCATGATTTAGAACTCTTACCAACTTATGTGCATCCCTCTGCTTGTGGCCATGTGTACAACTGTACCCAGATCCAGATATCAATTATGTCTCTGTTCACGGATGGTTTTGTATTCATCCCTGGGGTGGTTGCATCCTTCATGAAGGAGCAAAATTTACTGGAACTGTACAGTATTGAATCCAATAATTTTATCATGGTTGCATGTAACTGCACTTCCATTCATTTAGTTTTTTATTTTTATTTTCAAGAGATCAGGTACAGTGCTTATATTAAATACAAAATCAAAATGAGAGCATATACACCAGCATCCATGTTCCTTTTTTTCAGTTTTATTTCTCTAGGATGCATGGTTTATGTGGAAAATATTAATTCATAGAATTGTCATGTGATGATAGTATGAGTTCTTGGTCATGCAGGGTAAAGGTGAGTTCACTATGGAGTACAAAGAGCATTCACCAGTTTCACAGGATGTGCAGATGCAACTAATAAATACTTACAAGGCCGCGAAAGCAGCAGAATAGCCTATTTTTGGAGTAAAGAATGCTGCCCCACATTCTTTTCCCATCCACATGTAACATGTCATATTTATATTTCATAAGATGAGGTAATAGGTAAATTTTTTGTCCTCCAAATTCCCCCTTGAATGGAAAATCATTCATGTTACTGTCTAGAAAATTTTGTCACAATAAATGTTACATTTTTCTTTGATTTATCAATAATTAGTCTCGCATCTAGGGTTCTCTCAATAGATGAAAGTTTTGTCACAATATATAAACAACTAAAATTCGTATTAGAGTATTGGTATTTTTATCATTTCTCTTGCTCGCAATTTTCGTTAGTGTTTATATCTGTCATTGATTATTGATAGAACTGGCACCACATGGGGATATTGGAGCTTCTATTGATTCATGAAGGATTCCTACGCTATTGTTTTACCGTGGCCTTGGAAACCGAAACATTGGTTGTAGACTTTTAAGGTTGTACTGCTTAACATGATTCTCTATTACCAAATCACCAGAAATTTGTGTCAAGGAATGCTATAACGGAAGCGTAAAATTTCTGTTGATGATTTTGCATATTGATCAGTTGAGGCGCCCCAGTTACTACAGCCTCGTGTGGCAACGACAGGAATTCAGGAATACATCAGCCCCTTTTCCTGGAATCGCTAGTAGCTTCTGCCGCTTTTTTGGCTACCGAAGCTGTATATTTTGGTCTCATGTTCTTCCTATCATTCGTAGTGAGGCCAATTGATTTTTCACAACTCATGAATCCCTTTAATGCACAAAGACGTGAAGGGAATGGGATTCTGGTCTCGGCGGCCTATCTGGTAGTGTTATATAGAATTTCATCTAGTCTCTGCCTTTTTTGAGTATATATCTACCGTACTCAATACACGGGTGGAATGTGTTGTGGGGCGCAATTGTGAATTTGCCCTTTTTATCCAAAGTATACCTTTCTCCTACCATCTCTTTCATATAGAAACCTTTCCCCGCTTTTGTTGAACCCCGTTTTTAACCAAAGATCTTGAGCTTGTGATTCAAGGACCCCCACTTAGCGAGGGTACCTTGCCCTTGATTTATGCATTCCATTGAGGTTCAACACTAAAGCACGATTAACTTGATATGGAACAAAGATTCCTTCATTTTCACTGGCCATGGTGAGAAGACGTCTTGAACTGGATACTGAAGAGCATAGATCTTAGGTGGTGTTTGGAACTGTGGTCATCTTGTGTATGGCCCGTTTTGGTTCATGCCATAGGACCATGATGGCCATGATGTTTAATTGGCTGTGGACAAGACTGGTTTACAATATATTGACTGTTCCAGTCCACAATCCAAAATCTCGACAACACCTTGTGGATGTGGTCGGTTCACAATATTTTTACACTGTTTTGATATAATACATTTTCTTATACACACTTTTCCTTATTTTTAAATTTTTAATGTTAAAATAATATTTTTATCAATAAAATAGTAATTTTTAATGTTAATTCTAGCACCAGGCACAAGCCCGATGGTTCTCCTTATTATTTTTTTTCATTTATTTAAATATTATTTTTAATGTTTTTATCAATAAAATATATTTTTTAATAATTTACTATTTGTTTTTATTAAAATTCATATTTATTGGTTAATATTAATTTATTGATGCATTTTTCAATTTATTTATCACATAAAATGCAAAAATTGAACATTTTTTATCTACTATAAGTCACTTCATAAACTATATGAGATACATGAAATCAAAAGGTGTGGTGTGAACTAGCCCATAGTTTAGAATAGTTGTGAACTATGGTGTGGTGTGGACCAGTCCACACTACCCAACTTCTCATCCACACTACTGAACATCCCCTAAGTTTCCTTTTGCATCTCCAGAGTTTTGTTTAATAGAAATAGGGATAACAATCTTCTATGTCCTCGATAACTACTTGGCATCCCTGACTTGATTGTGTTGGGGATGGAGACTGCCTTGGCAGGGAGGGGTGGGGAGTGAAATCCCAACCCTAACCCAAATCTGATTAAATATGTATATATTATTTATATTTTGATTTTTTTCTTTATTTAAATAATCTTTTTTCAAAAATGCTTTTTATTAAAAAATCGGGGATTTGGGTTTTTTGATGGAAAACTCGTCTCTGTTGGGTAACAGAGATGGAGGTTAGCTTTTAACCTCAACGGGGATCAAGGACAGGAACTGGAATGGACTTCAAAGTCAATGTAAAGTATTGTCCCAAATAAATTAAGCATTTCAGTGACCAAAATATACTTGATCCATACTTTGAACCTTGCTTATGGGGTCCAATTTAGTGAGATTGTCTTCCAAATGTTCGTTTGAGAGTCGCAAGTGTTTATTGCAATAGGTATTTTTGTTTTTCTTGGTTTGAGTGTCGGAGGAAAATTACGCCCATGACAGGTTCAGGTCACTCTTATTTGAGCCAAAATCCTATTCAGTTCTTGTTTAGGACTCTTCTGACCCTGATCATCTTAGAATAAACGTTGGCAAACAGCTCCTTTGCTTCTGGAAACTCTCTCTATCTTCCCGTCCCAACTTTGGGAATTGGTTTTAACACAAAGGTGCGTCTAGGTATTGCCCGGCTGAGAAAAAAAAGATCAATAATCTTGTTTGAACCAAGTTTTTTAAAATCAATCCAGAGAACAAACTGGTCAGGGGTCTGGTTCTTGAGTTGAACGGTCCAATTGTTCAAACCAAACAGTCGGCCCGTTCTGACAAAAAAATAAAAAAATTCAAAAACAAAAAAAAATAAATAATAGTTAAAACCGTTAAACAGTTCAACTGCCAGGATCAATGTTTTTTTTTGCAAATATCCAGTTTTGGAGAAAAACGGACCGGTTCCCGATTTTCCTATCTGACCATCCAGTCCGGTCCAATTTTGGAAACCATGGTTTGAACCCTGATTCGTAAGTCACTATTGACTTAACTTATTAGAGTGTAGAGCATATCAGTTACTACCATCATCTCTCACAATCTAGTACTTCATTCCTGTCGCAACTCGCAATCACACCAGATCCACCTTCAACAAATGAACCTGCGAAGCAGGTTCGTCATGCATGATAAATTTAGACATTCAAAGCACCAAATGACCATTTGCGTGTGTAACTGTGTATGTGTGTTGTTGCAAGGCAAGAGCGTTAGGAACAAAGTTGGATTTCCTGCACTCGTTTTGGTGTGAGATGGGGTGCACTTCCATTCAGATTCAGCCATATCATACATCCCATGCCACTCTTATCTCATTTGTGTGGAAAAAATTAAACAATAAGTTTAGGTCATTATCACGTTATGTCTTTAAAAATTCATTTTTTAAAATTAAAAAAAAATTGGAAAAAGAAAATTATTCAATTCGACATATGCACAAAATTAGACAAAACCAACAAATAAATCTAAGGGCTTGCTTGCCAAACCCTGGATGGGTGGACACCATTAACAAGCATTCTAGAACTCTCTTCTTCAAACTTCAGCTACGATGGAAGTCATGACATCTTGCTCAAGAAAATGCCCCCTTCTTCAGACTGAAGTCACATTTCAGGGTAAAACATTTTGAGTATCGGATCTGGTGATAGTTGAATTTTGAAGTTTGACAAGAGAAACTGTGAATTGCAAATTTTCAACTTGACAAAGGAAGCCATAACAAACGGCTCTACTCCATGGACCTCCAAAGGAAGTTGTAACTTGTAAATCTTAGACTTGGAGAAATCCCAAAAAAAGGGCAAAGCATGTTTGGTCACTTCATTTCCTCTTAGACATGGGGATTGTGGGAATGAAGTTTCCCATATTAATTAGATATCCCCACTGCTATGCAATGCGAAATAAAGTGAAATCACAGCAAAAGCCATTCTCTACTTTCTAACTGTTATTTTGGAAATTTGTAAGAAAACTATTTCTGCAAATATGAACCCCAAATTTAACATGTTCCTTTTAGGAAAGAAGAAAGAGAGTCCAAATTGCTTTGATGCATGCCTAGACTCACATTTGTTATTTAATCTTTTAAAATTGCAAGATTGAGAACTGAGAAGAGAGCCTAAATTCACGTTGCAAAGAACATATGCCAAGTTTCAAGTTAGAAGCAGATTCAAAGAAACTTTCTCCTGCAAATGGTTTTGGGTGTAAATCTTTCGCTGCAGATGATGAAAGGCTGAGGATCAACACCGTGTAAATGGTTTCAAGTGTAAAGAAAGGGCTAGGTTTTTCTCTCCAACGTTTTCCCTTTTCTCTTGTCTCTTGTTTTCTCACTTTTCTTTTTATCCTTTATAATTTGAAAGAGAAAATTAAAAAATAAAGACAAAACAGGATCAACATTGCCGTCTAATAACTTCTCACAAGTAAGACTTGGTTTTTGTGCAGAAACGACATGCACCCAGGAATGTAATAACATGTAGGAGGTCCGGGCTTGTTAGGAACTCAGGATTTTCTTTTTTTGTTTTAAAACCAGTTATGCTGGTTATGTATTAATGGAAAGATTTAGAAATCCAAACCTAGAACGAATATAATTAACAGCAAGAATTTAGAAATCGAAATCTACCTTAATGGAAGAGAGATTTATGCCAACATCCATGAGGCAATGTAAGATCTCTAAATAATAGAATATTGAAAGTAGAAGACAGTACCAAAACCAATATGAAATGCTGTAATCGTCAGTCTGAAATTTTAGAAATTTCCATGGCTTTTCAAGCCTCCCCAAGCCATGTACCTTCCAGGCTGGAGTTCATCATGTTCAATGAGTTATGTTCCAGAAAATATTGTATCACGATCCCTTCAGATGATACATTAAGCCTTTTGACATGGTCAGCTATGATAAAACCCAAGAATGAAGTTTGTTTTTCTTATAAACAGGGGATCCCACTAAACAAAGTTAATGGCTTAACAATAATGAAACAACCTTTTACTTCATTTTTCTTACCATATGCATCTGAATTCTAAACTATACCCACACCTACAAATAATTGCAGGCACAAGGTTGGAATTTGACGTATAAGAGGGTCAGACTTTGGAGAGTCCAAAGAAGAGATATGATGGAGGAACTTGGTGTCTATATTGCACCATTCAACTTTGTTTTTTCTTTATAAAATACTTTTTTTTTTAATTTGTGGGAGCAATACAACAAATGATGGAAAAGAAAGTAAATAAATAGATCACTGCAAATTAGTACAAGCAATTAAAAGCAATTTTGTAATCCATTATGTTCTATTTATCAAGTAGTAAAGATTTGCAATTTATTCCAAAATTTTAACCTAAGGGCATAACAGGCTCAAGAAGAAGAAAAAGAAGAATCATCACAACTAGTGTGTCAAGATCCATGCCTGATGCATTGGGGTTTCAGAGCAATCCATGTAATAAAGCTCCACACCCATCTTTCCCAATAGGAGGCCCCCTAATTTACAAGTAAATGGCATAACCAATGGATTTACAAGAAGGACCACTGTAAATACACACATCATAGATTCAATGATCACATCTGGAGTGATTCAACCTGAACGTTCCTACTTAGTTTGTGTGGTGAACCGAGTGGCATGATCCAATACATAACTCATTAAAAGAAGCAGCCAATTTGATCAAAGATAATGATGAATCCAAAAATTGCCATTTATCTACTTAAACCTATCCCGTAAAACAGCCAAATTGTTATTTCTCTTCCTCTTGCCTGTTGTGCCTACCCAATTTCAGGACAATATATTTAAATCCTTGACCCTTTTGTTAACCAATTCAAATATAGGAAGATTAAGAACCAATCTTCCCCAACCCTAATGAACTAATACCTTTTGAAATAAATTTCTACTAACTGATAAAGAGGACTGGCATCGAGGAAATCCTTAATGCCAGCAACACTAAGTGAAAGGATAAATAAATTTTAGTACTAAAAAAGTTAGAAGCCTTGACCTCCCATACTATTCAGATCGTTGTTGCACACAAGACCAAGAAATACAGACGAGAATAATTATATTAAACAAGTATCTCGAATAATATGACAGACACATCTTTGATCTTTCACTGATAAATGGCAATGCAATTTTCAAACCAAACAGCACAGAAAAAGTGGAGAAGGGAAAAAGGAATCATATATTTCACTTAGACTCCTCCACATTAAAATTCCTAACAAACCATGTATCAAAATTGCAGTTCAACATAATGGCGTCAGTAATATACCAATCTGTTTAGTGCTTCTTCTTTTTCTTCCCTTCATCTGCAACTGCAAGCAATTCCTCATTTTCGAGAAATTAGAGTCCATACCAATTTCTCTATATCAAGCCTTTACTCCTGAAACCCAATGTCAAAATTTCAGACCAGTTTGATCCACTGGCAATGTTTTTTTGGAGTGCAACAGAAATTCCAGAAGAAAAATAAAAAAAAAAGATAAACAATCAAATCTGCAAATTGAGAGTTTAGGGTCTAAATGGATTTGCATATTGAAGCACAAGATCAGTAAAAAATATGAAAGTTTTTGTACTGAAAAGTAAAAGGAGGGGAAATAGAAAAATAAAAATTAAAGGCACACCTACGTCTGCTTGGAGTAGGAAGAGGATGAAGGGACACGTTTGTTCCGGAACATCATGTAGCCGACGGGCAAAACAACTCCGACCATCATGATTGCGGCTCCGATGATGTACCTCAGTAGGCTCGGTGGTTCTACCTCTAACAGCCTTCTGAGCTGCAATGCAGATGAAACAGAACCCGATGAATTAAATCACAATAACCCTAGCACTAGAATTAATTCTGCTCTGGTCTTCTTTACATGACCTATTAGATCTGATTTTCCGAGAAGAGAATTGGTCATTGAATCGCAATCCGAAGAAAAAAAGAGACTTACAGGCATCGTTAGCGACTGCAACCGAGGGGAGATGGAGAGAGAATGAGAGGAGAATTTCAGTGCCGAAAGTCCAGATAGGGGACGAAAGATCAAAGAACCTTCAGTTTTCAGACTTTCATGGAAGTTCTGGTGGAATGGGATGATTTGTGAAGTGCTGCGAGAAATTTTTGGCGACTCGGTGAATATGCTGATTGGAGCAGTGGAGCCCACAGGCACCACATTGACTCAGATGTTGGATCTGATCCGGACTGAGATCTGAGGGAACGGCATCTGCTCCACACACGGGCGCCTCACAAGCACATCCACCGAGAACATCTCCTCCCATGGATAATAATTTACAAGTGCGGAAGATATTTTCAATGCATGGTAGGATGTGCGTCTGAGGCGCCCTATATAAGGAGCAGATCCGATCAGCCCACGGAACGGGATCTGCTCTTCACACGGGCGCATCACATCCACATCCACCATGCATTGAGAATATCTCCCGTGAATAATAACTTATAAGTATGGAAGATGTTTTCACTGCATGGTGCGATTTGCATGTAAGGCGCGAGTGAGGCACCCTGTGTGAGAGCAGATCCGGTTACTTAGCCCACGCCCCATTAAGCGACACCTAGACATTTCCCATTTCTCAATAGGGTCATTTGCTAAATGACCCCTATAATTTTACGAATTTATTAAAACCTACCAATTTGCATTTTATTAAAGCACCCCAATAATTTTCTGAAACCTCCCCTTATGTTTGATAATTGCAATCATCCTTTCTAAACTTTCTGATAACCTCTTTGTTAGATCCTCTACAAAGAAGCATGAAAATGTCCAAAATACCTATGTAATTACTTTGATGAAAATATTTATTTTCCAATTTTTTTTTATATATGAATGGCCACCCAAAACCCTCTCAATCTCTTTTTTTCTGAAAATGATTTATTTATCAAATTTGCCTTTCATATCAACTGCTCAAAGGTAAAGTTACAACTTTAAATTCTTTTTTTTATTATTTTCATAGAGTTTATATTCTTTTTTTTTTCTATAGAAACCAAAGAACAAAATTGATTGAATGAAATTCATTAAACAGAGAACAAAAGTTCTTCTTGCAACTTTACCTTATATTTTTCTCTTAATATATTATATATTTTCATAAAGTTCTTCCTTCTTTGAACGGAGAACAAAATTGATTGAACGAAGTATTGCCTACATTTTATTAGGGCACGAACAATGTTTCCAGTTTTATTTTCTTTTGACTAAATTTGATTGATGGGTATTAGTGTCAAAACATCAATTTCCATTCCCATTTAATAAAAAGTCGATTAAGTAAATATGTTACAAATTATAGGCATCTTTTAGTAAAATAAAAATACAGGGTAAGACTTGGTAAATTTGTGAAACTATGACGGGTATTTTAATAAATGACCCTTTTAAATAAGAAGAAAACCAGATAATAAATTTACAATTTTCCCTTTCACTCTTCTCAACTCCCATCATTTTTTTTCTTAACTAATTGTCAGTTTCTTTGGTTAAAAAAAGGTTGATATTCATCCTCGAATGATCAGAGCTTCAGAAGACAGCCTCTGGTCTATAAAAAAGATCCCAATCCCTCAAAGCCTTCCCATTCCCAGGGTTCTCAGGTTTCTGGTTTTGAAACACGGGCTTCAGTTTGCTAAGGATTCAACACAAATCCCTTCACAATGTCCTATGTCGGTTTTGTAAGCAATTTTTTTTTAAAGAAACTCTTTCAAACAGTTAAATGACATAAAAGCAAGGCTTTCTATGAAATTTGAGGGCAATAGTCATTTAGGCCTTTTAAACTATCAAATGTCTTTGAAGTAGATAACTATCAAAATTACTAGTCAACTACTTGACAAAGGGAGTGATATTTTTCTCTCTTGGCTAACTGATTCCTCCATATTAGTTGACTGATATCATTTTGAATCAGTCTATTTGGGTTAATGGACTATGCTTTTTTGGGTAATCAACTAGTCATCTCAGATAGGACATATTCATGCATGACTGTCCTAGTTAGTCAAATATGTCTTTTGGTGTAGTCGGCTATATTTCATAATCCTAGCATTTTTTGCCTTTGTCATCATAGTTAATCAACTATGTTATGTAGGGTAGTTGACTATGTCTCTTATCAGGTTAAACTTGTCTCAATTGTCATAGTTAGTCGACTATACATTTCTAAGTAGTCAACTAACTACTTTATGGAGACTGAGTAGTTTTGCCTAACAGATAGCTCAATACTTAGAAACCTTGAAAATTCTTATTAGGATCTCTTCCATTGGTTTTCAAAATATATTTTTCTAATTCTAATCTCTTGTTTAAGTTTAGGAAAGCCAAGGAACCAAACCTATTCTAGTCATTGGTCTCTAAGGTTGTTTATATTGAGTTCAATCTTGTTGAAAATCTAGGGAATACATTATGCAATTGATTACATCAAGATCTTAAAGATAGACACGATTTGAGCATAGAATGATGTAGCCTTAATAATTGGTTAGAGCTTCCTCAACTAGAGAGGTATGATGATGGTGTAGAGATCATGAAGCACAATTAGCTAATTCAGCAAAACTTTCAATTTCTTCATCTTTGGTATCATATTTGCTTTAATACATTTTCGGCACAAAGAAGCTTACTAAAGATTGCTTCAGTGAGCTTGTTATCATCAAAATACATAAGATCGACATACATTTGTCCTACAATACTTGTTTTGAACTTGTTTAAGATAGATTTGATAGTAATGGTTTTGCTCTTAGGTTCAAATAAGAAAGTGTTAACAAAGAGGGGAAAAAATTGTCTGACTAAATTCTACTCATTTAATACATTATAGATTTTAGTTTGAGAAGAGTAAAATACAAATATGTATAATGCAAAACCTTGTATATCAAAAGCATAAACAATAAAAGGGCAAAGTTCATCCAGAACTACCCATTTTGCCCTCAAATATAAATTAGAAAACATTAACATAGATGGGCAAAATTCATCATGCTAAAAGTCTAGAAATTCTCACAAGTTATTCATATTTTTTATAGTACTAGTAAGTGTGCAAGTGGTAATTTAGGATGATGATGATGATAGTAAACAATATGTTTCCAAATTTTTTTATAAAATTATTTTTATTTGTTACACTTACTTTTGTTTAATATGATATTAGAGATGTCCCTAATGTTTTTTACGTTTTTTTACTATTTTTATACTTTGGTGTGTTCTCATCATTTTTAATTTTTATTATTATTTAATTAATTAGAGACATGCCAAATATTTTCTATATAACCTATATGTTTTTTGTATTTTTTTTGTCTTTTTATATTTTTAAATTGTTATTATTTAATTATGACTTCACAAGTTGACCCATTTGACTTGAAATGTTGAATTGTTGATATACCACCAAATTAAAATAATTTTACTTTTGGGATAGTTCTAAATTTACAATTTTATTTCTATCATCAATAAAAAGTTAAAAACTATTGTTTATCATGTTTAATTTTTAGTATGTATAATATAAAATATTAGATATGTTTCCAAACGTTTTCTACAGGGTTCCTATATTTTTTCAATTTTTGTATTTTATCCTTTTCTTTTAATTTTTATTATTTAATTAGGAGACCAAGGGTTGGCACATATGACCTAAAAGGTTGAACTATTGACCCACCACCAGGAAAACAATTTCAATTTTGGGTTGGTTTTAAATTTTATTATTGTATTTCCAACATCAATAAATACAACTATTATTTATTTTTCTTTAATATGATTAATATAAAATATTAGAAAAGTGCCTAAATGCTTTTATAGAATTTTTGTACTTTTACAAATGTTTTGTGTTTTTTATTTTTTTTCATTTTTTATTTAATTATGACATCAAGGGTTGACACATTTGACTCAAAAGGTTGAATTGTTGACACCACCACCAAAAAAAACAAATAATTTTGGATTGGTTTTAAATTTATATTTCATTCCAACATCAATTGGAATTGTTATTATTTATCACACTTATTTTTTTAATATGATTAATATAAAACATTAGAAATGGGCATCATGGATTGACCCATTTGACCCAAATGATTGAATTGCTTACTCGCCACTAGGACGGAAGAATGGTTCTATTTTTGGGTTAATTTAAAAAGCATGTATTTTATATCATTAAAAGTATTGGATATTGATTTAACTAATAGAATTTATTGGTGAAAAGATTAGTTTAAATATAAGATTCACTAAGAGAATGGGAGTTAGTACTCTAAATATGACTTAATGAGATGGAATTAAATGAGGAGGAATGTAGTAGTTCAGATTGCATTTTATGCCTTCACAATTGGAGAGAAACCAAATTCAAAATTAGGGGTATTCTAGTCAAGAATAGGATTAAATGAATGTTAATGGGGGTTAATACCTTAAATATAAGATTTAATGAGAGCGGTTTGAATGCGGAGAAAATTGTTGTTCAAATTACATTTCTATCCTTACAATTGCATGGGGACAAAATTCAAAATTTGGGGTATTTTCGCCAAACAAAAGTTCCACTCACATTCACACTTTTAATAGTAGTATAATGTAGGTAGATGAATAGATATAGATGGATACATTGGGTTTTCATTGGAGAGGTAAAAGCCTCTTGCATAAATATTGGGTTCAACTATGATACTGAAAAGGCATGATATCTAAAAAACTTATAGCCAATCAACAAGTATCATAAAAGAGGTAACCACTCAGGAGGTTTTTATTAAAATTCATGGGGTGCTTTGATTGGTCAAAGCTCTTCTGGTATCATGTTTTTTCCAATATCATAGATTCCCCATAAATATTGTATAAACATTTAATTATGTATATTATGCCAAAAAGGCATGATACTAGAAGGGCTTTGACCAATCAAAACCTCTTGTGAATTTTGATAAGTACCACTTGATTGGTTACTACTTTTATGATACTAGTAACCAGTTCATTGGTTACCAACCTAACTTAACACACAGCTCGCACTACTGCATTAGGTTAGGATTGACCTCAACCTGACTTAAATGGTCCAACTTGTGTACCTCCAAGCACAAAATAACTTATAACCACATATTTTGGGGGGTGTAATGGAATTGAGCTTAATCAAATGGTATAGGGCTCAAGTTTGATTAGGCTCAATTCGAGTTAATGCTAATCAATTTTAAATCTCAGGGCATGTTCA